GGTAAGTTGCAAAGTGAGGATCCTCATCTAACCTAAGTCATGCCGAAGGCTTGTCTTGCCTTCGGCGACCTAGTTGTTTGATTGGATGTCGTTGATGTCAACACGTTTGTCGTTATGCGTGCTGGATTGTCATCAAGTTCCGCGTTATGCAGATGCTGGTCACCCTGTGCTGCGTTATTGCCTTGGGTTCATCATGCAGTGATCAGGCTGGACCTTACTGGTAAAAGACCTGCCTATTTGTTGCTGTTGATGACCTTAACAAGTCTTGCTCATATATGCCCTGTAGGCATTGTTAGGTTGTTGATAAACATTTGATGACATTTTTGCGAGGAGGTGATGACAAAAAAACTGACATTTAGCGAGGAATTTCCATAATCCAGTAGTAGTGTACTGATTTTTAGGGAGATAGCCGTATAATCAGCAGTACTGTTTTCAGTACACGTTAAGTTCTGATATTGTAAATTGCGAACTTAATCTAGTTAGTGTTACTGCCTTGCTATGCGTTCGCTGCGGCGTGTAGGTAGCTTCTTCATTTGTCTCCCCCTTGTAGGTTGGTACACTACACAAAGTCGACGGTCTCCAACTCAAAGTCAACTCTGAGCTTCCATGGTAGGATTCTAGCAGGTTCCTAGGTGGGTCCCGCTAAAATCAGAGTTGACTTTGACCCACTGTACTAAATAGTACTCTAAATTGTGTACCCAGCGCTTCGCATAGAGGCGCTCTACGTCGTACATATCTTATTCTCTTTTGCGTCTTGCTTGTGTCGAAGCGAATAACCCCGTACCTCTCTGGTTAGTCGCAGTACTAGCCGGAGCATCTTTGGTACTGGGACGGTAGATTCCGATTTAGCTTGATCTTGTAGAAGGAGCCGTCAGCCTTTCGTTTAAAGTTTCGCGCGTGGTTTTTGCGCTTGTTAGGTGGAGGCATCTTGCAAAAACGAAAGTGCTGCGAGATGCAAGAAGTCTTTATGCCTATATAGGATTGCTGAGGATAAAACCAATGTTCTGCTGTCAAAGGGCGGCAATGTGGCCTCACCGCATATACGTAACGATTCATCGATTACGGACGTCGAGGTGGCAATTCCGCGACTCACGCAGCGCATTGTACTACAATCCGAAGAATATCTCAAGTTGGGCCATAAAGTGCCAACATTTCAGTTGTGCACCTGGAATAGAATGTTTCGGTACACTGCTAGCACGCACTCCACGTTATGAACTTATTTGATAATTTAGAAAAATCAGTACACTATTACTGGATTATGGAAATTCCTCGACATTTAGCCTAATCGCATCCAGGCACGTTTGTCTATTATTCGAAAATCCAGATTCTACTTAATATAAGGGGGGGGGGGGATTAACTTGGTGAATCGATTTGTCGTGATGGCAGGTAATTGAGCAGCAATAAAAACTATCCAACTCGTAATTAAGTTAATAATTACTTGTTGAATAGTGCATGCATATTAATACATAGTGTTTAGGGATTATTATTGAAAGTATTGGCAAAACGTTTGGACATTATCTAAACGGCCCAGCTAGCTGACTCTAAAACTGAATCTCCATAGCTTTTAACTGTCGAATGAGACTCAGGAGCAACTGCATGAGCCTTGAGTTAACTATAAAAGCATTCATTGACGCAAATATCGCCTCTCTGTTTATAAATTTAGCTGTTTTATCATAAATTAAATCTAGGAAAATAGTTGTCTGTTTTGCCTACAAGAAAACAATTACCCTACCCGCGACATGACAAAATGTGGCACTTTCGGCGTTTCCACATGACAGAATAAAGCATTGTAGTGTGGTGAAAAAAAAAAGTTAAACATGACAGTATTTTCGGCGATGCCGGCAGGTGTGTTTTATTGCCATCTACGATATAATAATTATTTTCATATCTATTTCATTCTAGTTTACACAAATCATTTATATTACCCTCAATTATAAAATTTAAAACAGCTCTGATGCCGAGCCTAAACTTTCTAAAGTATATCTCGTTATAGTGAAAACGCAGCCGATTTATGTTTGAATATTTTGCTATGCATTTCAGTCGGATTGTCCAAATCGGGTCCTTATTCTTAGAGTACGACAGTCAGCAATTAATGTGGTTAGGTATTGAGCCACGTTATAAGATACGTGGAAGAGTAAATAAGATGAAATGGGTTTAATCGGACCAATAAGTAAAGAAGTCCCGCAGCCATAGTCCATTAAATTTATTTCCCTTCCGGCGAAAAGTTTTGGCAATTTACAGTCTTGCTGTTACAGCGATGACCTACTCTGGTGACTGACGCTGGCAATACTCCTCGTGTATATGAATGGAATGAATGCTGCAATTTTTGGAAGTCATGAACGCAGTGTTAGCCGCTGGATTACAAAGCTTGAGAAGACAGGAGCATCCTGCAAGAAGGCACCACAGCGTGAGCGCGGAGAAGTACGTGGAGCACATCCACGCTTCTGTATAGAAAAGCTGCGGCACCGGTTAGAGCGTATCCGAAACCCTTCCACAGTGTCGATATATCGGTGCTACGCTTCGATTTAAATATATCAAGAAAAACTAACCAAGCGAGCAAGAGAGTCAGCTCCACGCGAGGGTCAGGAATACGCCACCCAATTATTATCAATTTGTAGATGTCCGAAACAGTTCATTTTTGAAATCCAAACATCGAAAAACGGCCGGTACGTTTAGTTTTCCTTATGATCATTAAATATGCTAATACTTTAATATATTTGTACGAGCGTGCTAAGAAACGGAGGTACACCCGCCGTCGCCAGCCTCCACACGCGGCCGGCGATTATCCGTCCTAGCCGCTCTGGATGTGCATAGATTCTTACGTGGGGGCATGCTTTCGACACGTTCATCAGAAAAGAATCTCATCAAGTGTTCGCGACCAATATTTGTTCGGACCCAAACCCGTGGCCGTTACCGCTGTCAATCGTGATCCCCGAGAACGCCAAAATACACGTGTATGAGGAGCTGTAGGAATAGGTGCACTCGACAGGGGCGTTGTTTTTCTTTCTCCCTCCGTACTCAACAAGATCAGAACCCGATTGAAGTGGGGTATTCTCTGCTTAAACGATGGGCAATCAGGCATGCAAGTCTTGCCTTTAAAGAGGCCCACTTGTTGTTGTTAATGGGCTCTATGTGATTGCACTAAAACGCATTGTCAAGTAATCTACGGTCTATACCACCAATGTGGATATTTAGAAACAGCTCTAAACATTGCTAGCTAGAACGTACATGTGCTCCATAAACTGAAAACTGAGTCAAATCATCATCGTTTTCGTCGTCACTGAGAGCATGGTCAGTACCCTCTATAGTTTGAACTGGTGGTGTCGTGTGCACAGATGTTTGGCGGGATAGAAAAATAGTTTGGAACAATGTAGTACCAGTGAACGTTGAATGTCCCGAACGCTTGCATACATGGTGACCACAAAATCGTCTATCATGGACTGAATTGGTGCGAAATTGTCGGGGGCCCTAGCAGCAGCGGCAACTTTTGATCGAGGCAGTCGATATGATGCAACTAGTGAAACGGCGATTGAATGGAATACATATTTCTTCTCCAATGGGCGGTCTAGCCTGCGTTGTTGCAATGTAGCGCAGTGTAACATGTCAAAAGCCATATCAGCGGTTCGTAGAAGTTCTTGCATGGGTGGGAAGACTTGCTGAACTCTAATTTCCTGGAGCGCGATAAAGGGTAGTGCTTGGTGTCTTTTTAGGTTTTGCTCATACACGGAGACGTTGAACATGAAATCAATTTGCCCGCCTCGTCGCAGCCGTGCCATTGAATGCTGTTTACAGTAGCGATGCAAAACCATATTAACTTGGTTTGACAAACGATCTCGGTGTGTGTGTGTGGGGGGGGGGGGGGGGTATCACGAGTATAATATACACGTCGAGGTCTTCATTCCACGTCAGACGCTCTTTTTTGCAAACACCGATTTAACTGCAGCTCTCAAAACATCGCAGCCTTCTGGTGTATTGATGTCGGAGCCCAATGGTACTCGTTTAACAGTGTATCTGACGGGCCATTACCCTTTCGGGCGACTCCCTCTTGGAATGATCAATTGCTGCATTCACCCTCAACTGATCTCCGTCGTCGCGCGCGCGTACGCACCGCAGAGGTGGTCATGAGTCAGATAATGGGCGGCAATTTGAGAAGCGCAAGCATGTGGTGGAGAATTCTCCACCTGAATCTTCTTCGTTGCTGATTGGTTTACGAGTGGGTGACTTGAAAGCTTACGATTGATACGATTAATGGAACTGAGCGCATCGAATAAACTAACCCTTTTCGCATCTTACCAAAGATCACCTTGAAAGCACCTATTAGATGGACAAATACCGGAAACGGACAATAAATCAAAAATAATCCAACGGTGAACATTCTAACCCTTTCACAATAAAACGCGTAAAATACGCCATTCAAGGCCAGTTTCAAAACACGATGAGATTACATCCCTTAACAAGACAATTTTACGCCCAATCAGATTATCAGTTATTATTTTGTCTAGCACGCTCAAAGACAAATATCACCAATCAATGCTGCGCTGTGGACAAGTTCGAGCAAGACGTTGAGGAAGTTATGCTGGGGGTTGACCTGAGGGATGAGTGGCTGTGTTGGTGACGTAGCGTAGAATCGAGATGTACGACCAGTGAATGTAGGGCAGGTGGTAGAGTGTGGCGGGCGTTGTGAGTGTTGTGTGTGGTCGCAGCAAGGAGTGATTGGTAGCGAGTGCGTTAGTTTGTTTGATTTTGTATGTTTTGTGGGTAAAAGTGAATATGAAGCCCGTCTAGCTCAGTCGGTAGAGCGCAAGACTCTTAATCTTGTGGTCGTGGGTTCGAGCCCCACGGTGGGCGACTGGTTTTGCCATTTTGGCCTCACACGCATGCCAGCTCTTGCACGGCGTCGAGAGCGTCATTGGACTCTCTGCCTGTTGTCAGTGGTACGTCTGCCAGTCCATGCCAGGCGCGTGGATGTCTGAGAATCTACCTGTTGTCGATGGCGGGTGAGATTGATCTACCACTGCTGCCGCCTTCG